CTTGGATGACATGCGGGTGAGTAAATTATCAGCTAAAGTTTTTTCGAAAGTTAACTACTCCTTTAAGACACTGGTTGACTGGACACAGAGGCAGACCTTCAGGACACACTCACAGGTCAAAGGTCAGAGGCTGCGTATGACGAACAGTCAGCTGTGTGTGTGTCAGCTTTAGTGAGGATTTGAACGCTTCAGCGCTTTACGTGACCTCAGCGTCCACTCGGATGTTTCACTTCTTCTCACGAAGCACTTTCTCTCGCTGTGTTAAACGTCAGCAAGATCCAGGAGGACACGATCAGAGTCGAGCCTACAGAACTGAACCGTGAAATCATAGGAAATGGACATGCAATATTGTATTTTAGTCATTTAGTAAAGATTTTAGATGCCTAAAAACAGTTGATGATACTATGGAAGTCAATGGGGTCCAATCAACTGCTGTTTCCCGTATTCTTCAAAATATCTTCTTTTGTGTTCAGCAGGAACTTATATTTTTAAGTGAACTTTCCTAATTTCCTAAAACACACTACTGTACAGACATCTATTTTTAGTTGCAAATGCGAGTGAAGTCGTATTCAGATGGATCATAGTGTGTGTGCTCATGTTCATGGTGTTTCTGCTATGTGTGTGTTGACTGAAGATCCAGTCATGAATGTGGAGTTTCTAGTTTTCCAGCGGTGAGAATGTGAGGATTTTGTTTGTAATAAATGTTAGAAAATATCTCTTCAATCATGTTTTCTTCAAAGCCTGATGTTTCATGTCTCTTTCCTTGTTCTCAGAGAAATTAACTGGTTTACACACACACACACACACACCCTTGTCATTTCACACCTATAGTGTTTGTTTGCATTTACAAATGCACTTCCTGGTAAATGATACTTTTAAATGAGGAAGCAACACAATAGTGAGTTTGATTGTGTGTGTGTGTGTGTGTGACACAGTTATAGTGCTGACACTGTTTTCAATGATTATTGTTGTAAATATATGAGATCCATGAGTCAGATAGGCCTCAGGGTTTGGAGTGCCCAACACGCGCTCGGTTTAGTTTGATATCTGGCGAACGTCGTCTTATAGTTCCTGATTCCGGCTAATTATAATGTTAAGACGAGGAAGTGCTTCAGCTGAAGATTAATCATCAGTGTTTCATGCAAAGCACTTTTCAGCTCAAAAGGTTCAATAGTTCATGCGTTAACCAACATGAGCTCATTAAGAGCAATACATTACAGTATTAATGAAACCTGTTAGATAAAAATAATCCAGCTGTTCACGTTAGTTCACAGTGCATTAAGTAATGTTCACAAATAAAACCTACGTAATAGTAAACGTTGAAACTAATATGAGGATTATATGCTGAAGAAGTATTGTTCATTCTTAGTTTATGTTAACTAATCAATATTATTGTAAAGTGTCACCGTTATTCCTAATTTGATGAAAACGGCTGTAATGTTTGTCTCGTCGTCGTCTCGTCACATATAACATAAATTATATATTTTCACTTCAAAATGGTGAAATTAGACAAAAGTTTATTAGTTAGTTCTAACATTTCTATCCTAAAACAGCTGTAAGATATTACGTTTATTCTATCTAGCTTCTGTGAAGCTAAAGCCCCGCCTACTTTGATCTGATTGGTCATTTGACATTGACGTGTGTTATTTGACCTCTGGGTCAGCTCAGATGAGGAGATTGGTTATTGGCGTTGTGTAATATATCCTTGCAGCCTCAGAGTAGAGCTAATATTAGGCAATTATTTCACAACCTTTAATATTTACTCCTCAGCACACCTCCTCTTTCCTCAAAGAGTCTGAAAACGCTTTATTCGAAGATTCACTCCTAAACCCCGCCTCTCTGAGAGCTACTCTACTCTGATTAGTCAGATGACCCAATCCAAACACTCATATCATATCTGAATCTCAGCTCTTCGTCAGCATGGATTTTACCCACAGACTGTATACAAATATGGGCGTTGTGTGTGTGACGTCACCCGTAGTGTTTCTGAAGAGCGTTTTTGAAGCCCAAAGTGGGCGGAGCCGGCCGTCGCCATCTTGGCAGCGCGTCACTCCTGGATATGCGAAAAACGGCAGTGATGCGGATTAGCTGAGGTGATGTGACGTGATGCTAACATACAGCAGACAAACTGCAACGCACCTGTCACTCAAGTGGCCACGCCCCTTAATTATGCAGAACTTTAAGGCTTAATATCATTTAAACGGATGAGTAATAAAACAAATAACCCTGTCACACGACAAAGACCAAAACCACTTTTTGCACCAGTCTGTAAACGTGTTTTATTCTGCTGTAAAGTTGTGCGTTTTAACATGTGTGTCTATGGGAGTGAGTCTCTTCTGCAGCGCCTCTAGTGGCCAGTGGAGGAACTGCAGGTTAACTCACTCAGAGTGGGATTCAAGAGAAAGACCGCCTGGTTTTACCGTGTCAATCTCATCAACGTGGATTTGCTTTTGCAGTAGAAAACAGTGTATTCTCGACATGACCAACACCATCTAAACTCTTCCAGTCTCAGATACACTACAGTGTTCTGAGAGGGCGGGGCTAAGAGACGCTGCTCAGCCAATCAAGGCTGGCATTACGCAAACCTACGCAGTTTGTCGTTCACTTTGATCTTTGAAACGTTGCAGAGTTTTTACATCCATAGACCGCTCTATGACACACTGACTATATGAAAGTAAATATCACAGGGACCCTTTAATGTTCATGTGCACAGCAGATATCTGTGGTTTATCTGACCGATAATAAACTCGACTGGAAAAATGATCTTATCTCAGCAGGAAAAGGAAATTACAAACAGGAAATTAGCTTTTTTTCTGAAATGATGTGTCGTTATGATGTGGGCATTGACATTAGATTCAGGCAGAATAAGACAAAATCATACGAGCACGTTTCAAGCGCAACAACTGCCAAATTAAAGCTAGAATGGTTTTTAGAGAGTAATGTAATGGTGTTATTTGGCAGCTGGGCAGTATTACTTCATTAGGTTGTTCAGCCATAACATTACAGTTGTTAAAAATGATTATATTTAAAAATATTCATTATTTTAAATGAATTACATAATGTGTTAAAGTTGTGTGCATTCATTGATTTCCCACTGTTTTTGATAATACATTTGTATTAAATTAAATAAAAAAACAGAATTGAATTGAAATCAAACGCATTTCATAGTGCACTATATTATTGTTAATATTTTAATTAGTTATTCAGTTGTTAAATTGATATTCTTGAGACTTGTGAATGTTATTCCTGAGTATGTCGTTGGTCTGGTGTGATGGATCGGTGATGTTCCTCATTTGTGTGAAGGAATCTGCTGAATCTGCTCAAGTCAACGTTTCTGGGATGTCTCATGCTGGAACTCTGGGTAATTTCCCCGCACATGTAATGAAGAGAATGGCAGTAAATATTCTCGCATACAGGCCCAGTTTCCCTGAGAGATGCTAGACACACACAGCGGAGGGTGTTCATGAAGTTTGCAGTGAAATGAAATGCATTGGGAAAAGCGGAAAATAAATCTGTAGTTTATCATGATGATATTATTGACAGGTTTCTTGACTTGGAAAACCCTAGAAATCAGCCTTATTTCTGAAAAGGTACTATATGTGCTTGAGTTATTGGAAGACAATAGGCTATAGAGCGTTTTTTATTTTTCTATAGAGCGTATTAGAAAATAGTGTTTCATTGAGTTTACAAACCCGTCTGGTATTGATATAGAGCCCTTTCACATGGCTATGGGAGTGATATTGCTCATATAGTTATTCAAGTATGATACAGACTTCATTCTTCAGGTCAACCATATATTCAAGGAAGAAAAAGTCATTTTAATAAGAAAAGCGATGTCTCCGTCATAGTAGTACTTCGTTTTTTTTTGTTGGTTTTTTTGGGCTTAATTAATTTAATGTACTATATTTTAGTTTGATAATGTTTTTTTATTTCATATTTTGTGTTTTTAGGAGATTTTATGGTCCTAAATTATATTTACGCTGTATTTCTAACCCATTTATTCGCTTTTTGGAGAATCTGGAACGCTTAGACACAACAAACACGACACTCGGCAGATTATTGCTCGAGTGAAACAAGTTTTAAAAAGTGAACTTAAAAGTAACAGAATTTTACATGTATTGTTATGAAAAATGCACAAAAATATTATTATGAAATACATATTTTCAAAATCATGTTTTACTCTAAAACTGCAAGAAAATCGAAGCCATAAATCTTAAAGTTAATGGTTATAATAACCAAATCCATTGCATGTGCTGAACTTTTTGTACCATGTTGTTTTTTATTTATCGGCCGGCCGATATTAGGCATTTTCCAAAATATCGGTATCGGCAGTTATAATGGCCGATAAATTAATATTTAAAAAATAAAATAAAAATGGACGAAACACACTTCAATCATCTGTCCTTGGCCTGTTATATTGAAAATGTATGTTTTACAATTTGCAGTATAATGTTATCTATTGCTAAATTATGGCTCATCATAGACTAGCTAACCATAAAGCTAGCTAACGCCACTATCATCAGTGGAAGACCGTTAACGTTAACATTAATGAGCTTGGAAACCACAATGAACTTTTTCTGCCTAAATAAAGTATTGATTACTGTATTTATAACTAGCATATCTCTAGTTGCAGTCCCTGCATTGTAAAAAGTTATACTTGCGAGGAGTGAACATTTAGACATTTAGACAAGTATCAAACGTATCTTGTGCAGAAAAGTTAGCTTTTCTTTTACACGCGTGTGAAATCCAACAATATTTAATAATAAAAAATATATCGGATTTTAAAACCCAAAAATATTTGTATCGGTATCGGCCTTCAAAATCCTTTATCGGTCGGGCTCTATTTACCTTTTTTTAGAATTTGAAAGATAATAAAGATATTGTTTGTTTGTTGATTTTAGTCCTTCAAAACCAAAGAAATAGTGTTTAGAAACTCCTTTAATTTATTTTAGCAGTATAAGTGTACCCTGTATTGATTATGAGTCTCCCTCTTTTCCCAGTCCCGATGACTCCCTAAGCGAGTGGTTCTGGCTCATCCCAGAGGGCTCGTGGGCGTTCCCGTCATGTCCTCGGTCCCGCTGGAAGGATCCCAGCTGGTGTCGGAGTGGCTGAATCACCTCCGGCTCGACCAGTACAGCTCCGCCTTCCAGGAGTCCGGGCTGGGAATGCTGTGGGAATGCCAGGATTTATCCTCGGCTAAGCTTCAGCGAATGGGCGTGGCTCTTCCCGGCCACAGAAAGCGGATCCTCGGAAGTCTCCGCAAAATCTTCCCATCGGAGGCCGAGATGGAGGACGAGGAGGAGCGAGAGAACGACAGACCCGTCGCCAAAGAAAGAACGAAATTGCCGACGGAAAACAAGCGTTTGCCTCCCGTCCCGCCTCGTCTAATGCCTAATCGACCTCCCGTTCCCTTCACTCCTGGCTCTGTAACCGCGGAAACACCTGGACGAGCCACGCCCATCCCGACTCCGAGGCCACGCCCACGCCCACAGGACCTTCCTCTTAAAGGGCCGGCGCAGCAACTCCAGAAAAGCGAGAGCAAACACTCCCCTCAGTCGCCTACATCATCATCTTCCTCTTCTTCCTCGTCTTCGGAGCGCTTCCACCTGTACGAACAGTGTTCATCTTCCTCTCCGGGAGAAGCGGGTGTTCCTCCTCTTCCTCCGAAGAGCTACGCCGTGGCCGTCTCTAAAGAGCCTAAAGACGAGCCGGTGCCGTACAGACCCCCCGTTCCTCCTCCTCGCGTGTCCGTGGGCTCCAGGACTACAACTCCCAGAGGCACGTCGACCGGAAGCCCTCCCGCTGTCAGGTACGACACACACTTTATTCGGTATAGCGAACTGCTTTAGTATGTGTACTTCTCACTATAGAGACAGAGCGATGCTTTTTAACAGTTATAGCGCCACCTATGGTCCGATAAAAAGTTTGCACGCTTGTTTAGAATCATATGCTCACCTATTTTCGAGAAGTTTTCGTTTAGGAGTTGTAGGCTTTTGAGTTTGTTTTGCCACGCCCATTTTTTAATTACCCTGTTACAGCAACCCAAATGGTAAAGTTCAACTTTTTTTTACTATAATTATTGATCTGCACGGGTTTGGTTCCCATCGGACGAAAAACCTAGGACTAGTTCGTAAAAGTAGTTTTTTTACTTAATTGTGAATATGTAATGACCAATTTGATTGACGGCAGTGCTTCTTGAGGCAAAGTTGTTCAGCATGACGAGATCTGTCAAACGATATGCATATTGTGTGGATGTGTGAAACACGTGATTACAGAGCCGTTAAACTCGTTAGCGCCAACTAGTGTCTGATTTCTTTTAAAACCGTGAATAGAAATTTAAACTTTATTCAATAATTATTCACATTCGGACTCCAGAGTCTTTCTGCACTAGTCTGGTTCTGGTCGGGCGACAAACCCAGGACTATTTTACAAAAGTAAGTTTTTGACTAAATTCAGAATTACGCAACGATATGCACACCGGAAATGAAATCCACTTTCCTATGTTATAAGAAACGTGAGTCAAACAGTTTATGAGCCATTTTGTGCTTTTGATCACTGTAGCATATCACACACTATTCTAAGCTGTTTTGTAGTTTGAATAGTGTGAGTAGGGTGTTAACTTGCAGTTTTTTCATTGACTGCATTGCATTGTGGGATACAGCACCTCACACACAGTGTGTTTATACAGCAATGCAGATTGCAGTCATTCTTCAGGAACAGTGAGAGCAGTGTTGTAGTGAACAAGCTGCACAAGCTAGTGTTTGTGTTTCCTGTGACTGGAGGTCATTGAGTCATGTGACCCGCAGACCATCACAAGGGTCAAACGGACCAGTGGAAATGAGTCAGCGCTGGAAAATGACGTGTTCTTCCAGGCAGTGGGAGTGTGTTCGGTTATTGTGATTCAGACCAACATCATCACACACTCTTGAACAGTGATGGTGAGAGCGCCGCCCTGTGGTGTTCACAGGAACTGCAGCCAGTGTTTATGAAACCTCTTCTAGAAATGAAACCCATGTTTGTTTCATCATAACTTAGTCACTCTGTAGACTATAATTCTATCCTTTAAAACTCATCTCAAACATATTATAAGATATATAAGAAAGTCATTGCCTTAAAATATCTTGAATGTAACTCGACACCCTTGCCTCATTTAGTATACACGCTCTATGAATATGCAAATGAGCCCCTCCCTCCCTAACACACATTCCTAGCAGATATTGGACTGGATGTTTTGATGACCTTTATCTTTAGCTGTGGAGTGTGTGTGTGTGGTGTTGTCCGCAGCGGACACTAGGTGGCAGCGCTTCTCTCGGCATGCTGACCCACAATGCCATGCGAGAGCGTTTCTGCAGCTGTAATCCCACAAGAAACCACTTTTAGTCACTTTCCAGAAGGTCAGCATGTGATTCACATCCTTGAGAAACCGAGGCTTTAGATCCCCATTTCTGAGAAGTCGAATCAGACGTTATTTTGATGGAAATTAAGTTTAACAAAATTAAAGCAAAACAAAAAACCGAATTCTTATTAATGCACGTTTTACTTTTGAGTTTGTTTCTCAGTAATGCTCATTATATAGTAAAGCATTTATAGCCTAAAAGTAATATATATGAAGAGTTCAGATGCAAAAGCCTCTAAGTGCCATTTGAAATTTTCGTCTAGAATGATGATTTTTATCAAGCTTGTATATTTAAGTTCAGTAATTTCACTTAAATGGCAATGATGATTACCTATTAATTGTTATTTAAGTGAACTTAAATATACAAGTTTGATAAAAATCATCATTAAAGAAGAAAATTTCAAATGGCATTTAGAGGCTTTTGCATCTGATGTACTTTTATTACTTTTAGTTTTAACCATAAAACCAATGTTTTTCCCCCTAAAAAGGCCTCAATGCAAGTAAATGCATGGACGCGGGGTTAATTTGTGCACTACATGTTCTCGTGTGTGTGTGTGTGTGTGTGTGAGAAACGGGAGGCAGAATTCAGGAAGCTCTTTGTGTTTTCAGTTTGTGAAGGTCTCGGCTCAGAGACTCTGGTCTAAAAGTGTTTTCCACTTCCGTCTGCTCTGTGTGGTCGGCTCGCTCGTTCTCCGACTCGCTCGGCTCTCTCGCTCTCGTTTACCGGACCGTGTCTGTGTGTGTGTCGCCGGATAACGGGATTCAGGGCCTTTTCTGCCATGTTTCAGCACGTAAGTTCAATGTGGAAGTGAGTGAGTGTTGTTCTGTTTTCTTTAAAACTTTAATGTTTTTGAGTGTTCTGGGTGTGTGTGTTGTGTCGAAGTCGTCACTGACGTGTGTGTGTTGTATAGATGTTTGTTGTGAATGCAGTGTGTGATTCACGTTCACTTCCGATGCCAGTGTTTATGAGCTGATGTGCTGCACTGTAAAACTGTAAAACCGCAGGTTCGTCTTTTCATCATGGTGTGTGTTCATGTCGTTTCTCTGTGTGTGTGTGTGTGTGAACCTTTCACAGGTATAAATTCACTTTTCTTGCACAAAAACTGTCCTCATCAGTAACTTCCTGCTGATATCCGTGGTGGCGGTTGACCGCTAGTTCACTTCCGAAGGCGACTGACCGTCCAGGACGTGTTCTGTTTCATGCTTTGCTCATCTCAGATGAAAGTGTGTGTTGCTGAGCATCAACAGGAGACGGGCCTGCCTTCAAACACACGTCAGGAACATGATCGAGTTGCACTGTGAGGCGGTGCCGTGTCTGGTTGTTAGCTAGTGGTGTTGCTTGAGGGAGTGATGTGGGTTTGACAGCAATGGTTGATGATGAAATCTTCAAAATGAAGATTAATGGATAACTGGTTCTCACTTCTCGCTAGTCGTGTCTATTTTAAAGGAGTGTGTCTTTACTGTAATGATCCCTGAAAACATATAATATCCTGACTTGTGTACTTGTGTAACGTTGAGTCATTTCCAGTTGTGCAGTTCCTGAAAACGGCTTTAATGTTATCCATTGGGACTTGATGTGTTGGGCTGTGACGTGTGTGTGTAAAACATCACTTGCTTTAGTTGTTTTAAAGATTATACAAAAAGTCTTGTATATATAGGGATGGGCAAAGATTAATTGCGATTAATCGCATCCAAAATAAAAGTTTGTGTTTACATAATATATGTGTGTGTAGTGTGTATAATTAATTTGTATATATTAATACCCACACATGCATGTGTATATTTAAGAAATACTTGCATGTATATACTTTATATATATTTACACATAATATTATATATAAATATTTGATACATTAATAACACATTTTTCTTAAATATACACATACATGTGTTGGTATATATATATACAAATTAATTATACACACTACACACACATATATTATGTAAACACAAACTTTTATTTTGTATGCGATTAATCGCGATTAATTGTTGCCCATCCCTAGTATTGTGTAATAACATGCGTTTATGAATCATTCTCAATAAGAGAGTGTTATTTATCAAGAAAGCATTGACTTTCTTTACGCATTCGTCACTTACAGTGCAGGAACAGTAGGTTGTGTTAATATAGGATTGAAACTTTTATCTGTTTTGTTAATCCAAACCTATGAGGATTTCATTTAAAAAAAAAAAAATATGGAGTTTATGGGAAATATTGCTTTATGTGCAGTACCTTACATTAATTATCAGGGTCATTATTAATAAAAATGAATTCAAAAAGGGTGAAATTATACAAGAAACACCGGCGGTCCAAAGTTTGGAATAATCGTGATTTTGTAAGTCTCTTCTGCTCATCAAAGCTGCATTTATTTAATCTTAAAATACAGTAAAACAGTGAAATAATATTATTATAATGTAAATCATCTGTTTTTTATGTGAACATACAGTAAAGTGTAATTTATTCCTGAATTTATCATCATTACTGCAGTCTTCAGTGTCACATGATCCTTCAGAAATCACTCTAATATGAGGATCTGATGATCAATAACAGTTATGATTATTATCAGTGTTAACTGAGGACTGAGTATTTCTGAGGAAACTGTGATATATTGTAGTTTTCCGGATTCTTTGATGAACAGAAAGGTCAATAGGACTGCATGTATTTGAAATATAGTCTCTTGTAACATTATAAATGTCTTACTGTCACATTTGATCAATTTAATGAGTCTAATATCTAAAACACTTATGAAAAGTCAGCTTTGCCAACACTTCAACAAACTCATTATATTTTCAAATAAATACAAATAGGAAACAATTATCAGCACTGCATTTCTGATTAAATATGCAGAATTATAATAATAAATCCAAACTTCTGACCTCCTGATTGGTAAATATCCAGGCCATTTTCAGTGCTTTTAATTCATAAGAGCCGTACCATCAGGCTTTGTCACGGGCTCTGGTGGGTTGAAGGTCAAACTCCCAGAATGCACTGGTGTCTGTTCTCACAACGACATGTGAGCTAGTGAAACTTTAGTCATCTCAGTCGGTCTGTGATCTATAAAAGGATGTTTGTATGGAAGCAGCTGCTGAGTAAACACACTACTGCCTTTTTTAGAGATGCCTTACTGTACTGTGCTGAAGTTTGCGTTAGGGTCGTCAGAAGTACCAGATTCAGTCCTAAGATGTGAAATAAGTCTCTGATGTGTGTATGTGTGAAGTTTTAGCTCAAAAAAACCCCCACAGTTCATTTTTTATAGCATGCTAAAGTGTCACTTTTTGAGGCGAGCAAAAACGCCCTGTGCCTTTAAATGCAAATGAGCTGCTGCTACTGGCACAGGAGGCGGAGCTTCAAGAGCTTGTGTGTGTGTGTGTGTGTTTGTTAGCGGCTCCTCACACAGACAAGCACTGAAAATCTCAAAAAGGGGTGGAGCTAAACTTTTAGCCTTTTATGTTCAGAGTCGGACAAAGATGAAAAGACTCAAGAAGAAGTGACGACATGTAGAGCAACAGGACATTTCTGATGTCATTGATTTGCATATCCTGTCATGATCATCTATAAATGGGTCCTGGGGCGGAGTTTATGTAAATTTGAGGCTTTGTGATGTCAGTAACCTGTTTGATTTGATTTGATTTGAGATCTTTATTTTGAACATGTAAATAATAAATACAAAATACAGTTATTAATCAATGAAACAAGGAATATTAATTAAAAGAAACAAAACCTGTGAAGAAAAAGAGCTTAAAAAAGAACAGAAAACTTATCTTTTTAGCAAAGCGTATTTTTTTAAAGTATTTTTAAGTATTTCTGCGTGTTCATTTGTTTTACGCAAGTCTGTTTGTTTATTTTTTTATTTTATTTTTTTTTCATTGCTGTAAGCACTTTGAGATTTGATGTCAAATGTAAAGTGAACTATAAATAAAATTCATCATCAAGAAGCTCATTGTAGTCCCTACAGGCCGTTTGGTGAGATTTCTGTGAAAGAAAATCTCTCCCTTTGCCTTGAACTTTGAGCGTCGTAACTTTGCAGATGTTGTTCATGCTAAACATCAATATTACACACTGACTACAGTTAGAAAAGTGAAATCATTATCAACCAGCTCTTTAAGGTAAGGTAGTCAGAATCGACTCATTAGTTTGCGTTAGGTTCGGCAAAAACTCGTTTACTGCTGATTCTGAGTCTGACGCGTCTGATTGGCCACTGAGTTCACACGCTCAACAGATTCGTCTGTGATTGGCTGCAAAGCTAACCTGCAGATCGTCACCTTACCGGGACCAAGATTAATATAGCCACTAAAACATTTCAAATGGACTAGTATTGTGACTGTCACATGATCCCTAGTGTGCACCATTGACCCTTTATTATTGTCCTGTCTATCACATCTGTGTTAAAAAGCCCTAGAAATAAAGCTGACTTTGCATGAATGGTGATCCTGTAACGTTAAACGAAGGCATATTGTCCTCTTCAGATAAATCGCCCGTGGTTAATGTATATTTATGGTGGATCCGGGAGTGCGAGAATGAAGTCATATTTATATATTTTTACATCTTTCCTTTTTTGATGATTAAATAAAATTGTTGTTTGGTTTGAGGATGTGAAAGCAGAACGGATGAGTATCTTCAGCGTTTGTGGTGCTGATCTTTGGGGTTTTAGCATCAGGGATTTCAACTCTCTGGATTTTCCTGAGTCCGGCCGTCCACTCTCAGAGATCAGAGGAAGGGTTCAAGTCAAGGGTTCATTCATAACTTCATAACTTGGCATTTTCCTGATGTTTTTCAAATCTCTCTCTCTCTCGTTTGTCGGTCCGTTCTGTCGGGTCACAGGAAACTTCATTGTTTGACCATTCGTATGCGCCTGATCTTTAACACACACACACACACACACACACGAGAAAATGTGTTCCAGTCTGATAAATCTTCAACAAATGTTGTCCAGATTCTGAAATAAACCTGTGATTTATTCTAATGCCTGTAAATGTGGAGTGAATGCCAGATGATGGTCGAAATGTGGCCAAACTTCCTATTTTCACCTTTACTCTGGGTTTGTAGTGTCAGAAAACACTTAATTACGATGTTGAGTGTATAACTTATATACAGTATAGTCATCATGTAACGACTGAGGTAATCAGACACATTTACATTTAACAAATAAGCTTTAAATCCCACTCTTAGGAAGGAAAAATCCCCCACCAAAAGAGACGAGAGAGCAGGGGCCGGTTTCACAAAGCTATTTTAGTCTACGGTGTCAGTCAAGTCTATAATTTGCTCATAGAGTAGTCTACTGAAAGTTATAAAGACTGACTTCATTTAGACCAAAAATATCAGACAGCCACTCATGGCTAAGACTCTGTTACCGTGGCAACCAGCAGCGACAACCAGTGACGCTACAGACAGCCGAAAGAAAGCACGTCTCTCCTGGGGTCCTCCTCGCGCTTTTGGATATTTCCTCTTCTAAATATTTATTTTTAATATCTCTGAATGCGCTTACTCGAGCCGCCATTTTTTTGTTTTGAAGAGTGTCTTATTTTACCCAGAATGCATTGCAGTGTAGTTCTACCTAAGATAGTCCGAGTCTTCCGGGAGATCTCCCTTTACGTTTTGTTTTTGTGGATTTTGATGCGATTAATCATCACGTGTGTGTTGTATTTCAGTGGAAATGTGTTGTGGTGTTGTTCACCTGCTGAGTGAGTCATGTGACGCGCAGCACAGGTGTAGTAGTCGATGTCATGAACCTGTTGTGTGAGGTGCTTCTGAACGAGACCCAGACGTGTAGCGACACGAACCCGAGAGTCACGCTTTCCTTTCTCTCTCGAACGCCCAGCATGAAGAAGCTCAGTCGGCTGATCAGTGCCCTCCGCAGCTTCTCCTCTGAGCTCGATGAAGATGATGATGATGATGATGACTCTTCCTCCCCTGTGTGTGCTCCTCTCAGCTCTCCTGCGGATGATCTCTCGCACACGGATCGAGTCCCGGACGTCCCGCCTCGGATCAGACCGAGAGAGAGAGAGAGAAGAGACGTCCCGCCTCCGCCCCTCAAAAGCAGTGAGTAAACTATAATAAAGCCCAAACCATCTCTGCTGCTTCAATCTCCTATTAGATCTATATTGGTAAAATTTATTGGTATAAAATATGTAATTGTTTATAGTCATATGCTTATAAATCACCTCAATTGTGCTGTATATGAAATGCAAATATTGCTGTTAAATGTATATTTGAAGAGTTCAGATGCAAAAGCCTCTAAATGCCATTTGAAATTTTCTTCTTTAATGATGATTTTTATCAAACTTGTATATTTAAGTTCAGTAATTTCACTTAAATAACAATTATTTCCATTTAAGTGAAATCACTGAACTTAAATATACAAGTTTGATAAAAATCATCATTAAAGAAGAAAATTTCAAATGGCATTTAGAGGCTTTTGCATCTGAACTCTTCATTTATTGTTATATGTGTATGTGTGTATATATATATATATATATATATGTGTTATATTTTATATATATATATATATATATATATATATATTAGGGCTGTGCAAAAATTAATTGCAATTAATCACATCCAAAATAGAAGTCTGTGTTTACACACACATGCATGTATATATTTAAGAAAATGTGTTATTCATATATAAAATATTTATATTTATATAATATAGATTATGTATTTATATATAAATACAGAATTTAAGCGCAAATAGTTATTAAATATATACATGCATGTGTGTGTATTTATATATACAAAATAATTATATACAGCACACACAAATATATTATGTAAACACAGACTTTTATTTTGGATGCGATTAATCGCAATTAATTTTTGCACAGCCCTAATATATATATATATATATATTAGGGGTGTAACGATATACCCTTGCTCTCATGTCATGATTTGATACATATCACGGTACGATATTATTGCAATACTCCAAGACATATGATAAAAGGTAAAAAAAAAAAAAAAAAAAAAATATATATATATATATATATATATATTTTTTTTTTTTTTTTTTTTTTTTACTGTTGATTAAAGTTCTAACTTTGATATTAAATTGTGTGTGTGAATGAATAGGCTTGGGCCAGAATAAAAATATTCATGATTCTGAAGCGGAAAATACAGAATTATTTGACGAATATTCTTGCACTTTTTCTGACTAGATACATTTACATATATTTAAAATAATGTTGGACACTTTTTACCGGTAAAGGTACATAAGTCATCTGGCATTATCAGGACCCACAGATATCCCCCCATTGAATTCTTATACATTATAATCACCACTAATGTAGTACTAACACTAAAACTTTGGTGAGAATTTTTTCCTCACACAGTAATTTTTATTTTACGATACATATTGTTGCATTTTTGTATTGCGATATATTGTGGTATGATATATTGTTTATATATAAAAGTTGAAATAGGAATTTTTTGTAACATTATAAATGTCTTTACTGTAACTTTTGATCAATTTAATGCGTCCATGATGAATAAAAGTATTTATTTATTTATTTTATCCCCTCCACAAATGTTTGACTGACCCCAAGCTTTTGAACGCTAGTGTGTAATGCTGCAAAAGATGATTTATCAGATAAATGCTGTTCGGCTAAACTATCTCTTTATCAAAGAATCCTGAATAATAAATGTAAACGACTGTGTTCATATAATCATAACTGTGTGTTGATCATCAGATCCTCATATTAGAGTGATTTGTGTAGGGTCATGTGACACTGAAGACTGGAGTAATGATGATAAATTACACTTTACTGTATATTCACATAGAAAACAGATGATTTACATTATAATAATATTTCACAGCTGTATTTTTGATCACAGCAGAAGAGACTCTTTCAGAAACATTAAAAATCGTTCCAATCCCAAACTTTAGTTTTATTGAAACAGGAAGTTGTTGCAGGATGTTTGAAAGGTCTTGTTCTGTTTCTTTATAAGCTTTCGTTTACGTCACGTGATTGGCAGCTGAGATCAGGGGGAGGAGCTTTCTCATTCTACACAGCATCTGATTGGCTCAAATGTGTGTGTGTGTGTGTGTGCCCTAATTAAAATATCATTCAATCACATAAATGAGCTCAAAGCTACAGCGACACACACTTAATGATGGAGCAGTTGATCATCCGTCTGTAATGTGAAGATGCCCATGGTTTCCGTTTAGTTTTAATACCTCATTTGAATATCTGAAAGTATTTTCCTTAACTATGTATCAAATTAGTCACAAATGTTTCTTTATTAGCCTGGTTTTGTGGTCCAAGGTCACATATAATATTGGCAGATAAATGCATCCTGATGCTGTAACACATGCAGTGTCTCGTTTGGTTAATGAATCTGTGGTTAATTGTCCCGTTTCTCTTCTTCTGCTATGTAGCGCTGGATTCAGGGGACAGCTCCGATGAACATGACGACCGCGAGCCCTGCGGAGACGCTAAGCTCGTAGACATGGCCAACAAGGTACGTATTAGTGATTTCAGATTCGTCCAATCAGCACGGCCGCTGTGTGACTGACAGCTGCCTCCTCCAATAGATGTCCTTGCTGGTTCCCAAGGCGACGAAGCCCCGGTACAGCAGCCTGTGCAGCGACGACGAGCTGCTCGATGACGACACACACTGTTACCAGTCCGTCACGGTCAAGTGAGTGTATTAACAGATCATGGCGTGTTTATACTTTAGTCTGCAGTGTTACAGTAGGGCTTTAGAGGATTAGGCAACAGGAGAAGTTCATCTTTAATGTAATCATTGAACACTTCCTTCTTTTATTGACCTCTCCCTTCTCTCTCTCTCCATCTCAATTCAGAAAGCTTTATTATATATATTTATATATATATATTCATGGCTTAATATAGCAAAAATAATTACATAAAACAATAATAATAAAATAAATATAAATATAATTTAAAAAGAATATAATATGGAAATCATGTAACAACTGAACTTAGAAATTGAACATTATGTAGATGTGTGTAGGTCTGATGGGGTTTGTGTTTATTGGATGTTTGCTTATCTAAGTTTGCTTCTCTCTCTCTCTCACACACACACACACACACACACACACACAGACGGGGTTCGTGGATCGATGATTTCGGCTCGATCTCCAGCTCTCAGAACAGCATCTATCTGCCGCTCACGGGTCATGTCAGCGCCTCGCCTCCTCGGGAAGGTTTCGAGTCCTCGAGCGTCCCGGTCATTAAAATGGGCTGGCTGGACAAGAATCCTCCCCAAGGGTGCGTGTGTGTGTGCGAATGTGTGTGTGTGTATTACATTGTCTGTGATCACCTGTGATTTCACCATGGAGAAATGGGCTAATAAACATGCTAATGATGTTTTTTTGAAAAATGTAAAAATATGTATGCGTGTGTGTGTGAGTGTTTCTATGTTTCCATTCAAATGTGAAAATGTAACTTTTGTGCAAATTTTGAATATTGCGCGAATCAATTTGTTATAAAGCAGTTTGTGTCCCACATGTTCAAGAGAACTGAACCTGCACTTCCAGAACAAAATATGTGTGTTAAAGGCTTTTTTTGCACATCAGAACTAGTTTACCCTCTGGGGTTGTTCGTTTCAGAGTCACACTCGAGGTGTTTCGGGTCTAAATGGACCCAAAGGCCGGGATTCATATTAAAAAAAAAAAAAAAAAAAATCATGATTTTTTTTTTAAACTCGTTTTTTATAATATTTCTTCTTTTCTTTTTTGGTGTTTTGAGAAAATTTAAAAAAGAAAAAAAAATTATAATTAGTATTAATGCAGTAATTATGACAAAATTTCCCCCCATTGAATATAATAGAAAAAAATATATATAAAAAAAAATGAAAGCTGTATTTCATTTTAGAGTCAAGCCTAGGCCTCATAAAAGCAATTTTTGAAATGAGATGGATGCCATGTGGTGGACAAACTGAGCATTTTAAAAATGCAAAACACATGTATAATCTAAATTTTTTGGTGTGTTTGTGTACAAAAGTGTGTTTGTGTGTGTGTGGATGTGTCTGTTTTGCACTCTTGATGTTTAATAGATTCACCCCTTCACTGTTGTGTGCTCTTTTTCAAGATCGTGGCTGATTTGTAGATTGTACGCACAAAAAAACTACAAATCAGCCACGATCATACGCACGTACGCAGATTGCACGCACAAAAAAACACACCAAAAAACATGTGAAAAAGTATTTTCACATTTTTCCCAATTTCCCATTCATTTTCCATGGGGCTCCATTTGGACCCGAACACCCCAAGTGTGACTATTTTTTTTACAACCACTAAGACTTTTCACATCCTGACCCCAACAAATACCAATACCAACAAAGTCACCAAATTTCGGACCATACCATTACCAAGAAAGCTGGGATTTTTAAAAAATGTTTTATTTAAATTCTTCGGGTCCATTTGGGCCGAACAACCCCAGAGGGTTAAATCTTTTTTGAAGCAATCTGTCGTATATAAATAAACTGTGTTATGTGTGTGTGTGTGTGTGCAGGTCCCTGATCTACCAGAGACGTTGGGTCAAACTGGATGCTGAATACCTGAGATACTTCGACACGGAGAAGGTGTGTGTGTGTGTGTGTGTGTGTGTGTTACTGGCTCAATCCGTTTCTCTAGTTTTCTATTTAATGGTGACTTAGAGTAGTTTACGCTCCTTCTTCACCACTGACATTTACATCCACTTGTGTGTGTGTGTGTGTGTAGGACGTCTACTCGAAGAGGATCATACCGACAGTGTCCATCACCGGCGTGGTCAACGTGGGCGATCAGAAGTTTGAGGTCGTGACGCACAATCGCACTTTCCTGTTCCGCGCCGAGAGCGACTGTGAGTGTGTCACGTGTGTGTGTGTGTGTGTGTTATTGTTTAAAGCAGATAATAAAGTGTGTTTGTGATCGTGGGACGCGCTGTTTATCTGTGAGGTTTTGTGGTCTGATGACCTCACCAACACACATCAACACAGGCCTGGGAAAATAATCATCTGTCAGTCATTAATAAAGGAGATTCAAAATGATTGATTTATGTGTCCAGATGATTAGGAGGCATGAATGGTGAGAGTCAGGACTCTCGGTTTAACGTCTCCTCTATATATAATAATAATAATAATAATATCAGTATACTGTATACAAGAAGCGTAATTGGTGTGTTTTAATTCTAATCAAGCCGGGACTCTTGTTTTGAAATGCTCGTTCAGCTTATAATGAAGGAGGTGAAACACACACTCTTTACTATACCGTAAACACTCTCACAATCCAATCATTCTGTCCCTAATGGAAGACATTTGTTATACCAATATATAACTAAATGTATGACTGTTAACGATATGCCAGATGAAATATCACATGACTTTGATACTCGATCACACGGGGTACTTGAGACTAGTGTCACTTTCACTCAACGACTGACCTGTGTGTGTGTGTGTGTGTGTCAGTGGACAGGAACGAGTGGGTGTCGACGTTGAAGAGCTGTGTCGGGGTGTCTCGGGGGCGGACGAGCCTGGACTTGACCTTTAACCCCTGTGTGAACTACGAGATGAAGGGTTATCTGGAGATGCGAGGCCTGCGCTCCAAGCTCTACACGGTGGTGTGTGCCGATAAAGTCTATCTCTACAAAAACACTGAGGTAAAGCGTCTCCCACTGCTGTGATTGGCTGACAGCTTTGCATACGGAATGAGCGTTACATGTGGGCGTGAACACTTTCACAACCGTCGATATAAACTAAACATGAAAAATGTTGATTATAGACAGATTGGTCTTAATTTAGTCTCATAAACGGCAATAAATGATACGTGAATCGTTGTGTGTTACTTTTTCTGAATGTATTACTCAATGTTCAGTTGCATAATTTAAAACTGTAGGTGTGTGTGTGTGTGTGTGGTTATTAATAAAGTGTGATGAAGTGACGTGTACGCGGTAAAGTAAACGTGTTTGTGTTCAGGATTATCGTCTGGGAATCGGGATCACGTCTATTGATATGAATGTTGGGAATGTGAAGGAGATGGACAGAAGAGGGTTTGATCTGACCACACCGTACCGCATATTCAGGTGACACACACACACACACACACACACTCACACTCTTTTATACCTCCTTCCATCCGGCATGTGTTCATTCATCTCTCAGGTAATCTTTGCTTGGAGAGTCACTGAGAGTCTGTTCATCCAGTGTGTGTGTGTGTGACAGAGAGATAATACAGTGTCATACATTGAGTGTGTGTGTGTGTGTGTGTGTTCTGTTTCTCACAGATGTTGTGGTTTTGTAGTTTTTTTCTTCCTCTGTTCAGTGAATATGAAGGTCAGATGTGACATCTGTGTGTGTGTGTGTGTGTGTGTGTGTTAACACACTCAACAAATGCACCAGGCTTATCTCAGACCCACAGAAACTAGTTCACACGCTGTCAGTCTTCACTAAAACTATACATGTTCATCATTGCAACAAAGCTGAAGGGAAACACCGATGAGAAGGGGAAACACCGAGGGTAATCTTCAACAATCAGACACATGTCAGCTGTGTGACACTAACTCTGGATCAGCAATATTAAAGTCCCTGTAAAGTCAAAATTAAGTATGTGTTCTGAGTCTGTCATACCACAGAAAAACGTGTTATCAGCCACCCAGCCAAATTTGATAAAAATAAATAAAAAAGCCGGCAAGTACATAAAATAAGCTATCAAAATCTTGAAAAAATGAGCAGTTATCTCTGTTCTCAAACGCTGGGGGCGTGTCCACTGGCTGCGCTGAAACCACGCCCACTCGCGGGAAAGCTGTCGACGGTGATATTAGGTGAAACTGCTCTTGAAACGGGAGGATGAACGCTGAGGCGGGAGATAGTCGTTTCGGCACCGTTCACCAGTAACAGCGGATTATCAGTGAAAGTTGTCTCTGAGGAAAGTTTATAAAACGATCCCGTGTAAAATGATCACTACAGAGGCGGGTGTTGCTGTCAGTGATCCTCAGCTCTTCATCAAGGTTGGCTCTACACAAAATTAATCCACCTCTTCTTGATGTGATCGTTTTTAGGAAATTTAAATAAAGACACCGATCTGTTTTTTACATGATCGCATCCAGGTAGTAGCCAATGCATTTCCGTGTCGAAGGCATAGCAAGCTAGCAAACTGTAGACTGTAGTAACTAATAGTACTGACAGTAACTCGCGATTGAGCGGCGAATGCAAATGTGCTCTATTGTTAGGGGAGAGATCAGCCAACGTGCGTTATCAAATTGGGGCGTGTCCACGAGCTCCAGTGCGTCATCGAGCCCTGTTTTAGCCCCGCCCAAAAAATCCGTAAAATAGCAATGGTGAAAAACTGTTTAACGGTCCGTATTTCTGAACTTCACAGTTCACAGTCTCTGAAATATGTTTTAGCAATACATATGTAACATTTATAATGTGTTTAGAATTTTTTACCTTTACAGGGACTTTAATGTGTAATGATGCATCTAAACTCTTTTAGTCCGTGATATTCCGTTAGCAAAACTCCTGCCAGCTAATGATCACACAAAATCTTTATTCTGTTACTCTTAATATAGAGAAATTATTTTAAATTAATGAATGTAATATTTATATATATAAGTTCTCATGGATTGCTGCGCATTTCCTTTATCATGCTGAGATCGCTGTAATGTGTGTGTGTGTGTGTGTGTGTGTGTGTAGTTTTGTAGCTGACACAGAACAGCTGAAGGACCAATGGGTGGAGGCGATGCGCGACTCCATTAAAGAAGCCTTGTCCAATTACGAGGTTGCCGAGCGCATCTGGGCGGAGCCGTCCAATCAGATGTGTGCGGACTGCAGCGCCGCTAAACCCGAGTGGGCCTCCATCAACCTCGGCGTGGTGTTCTGCAAACGATGCGCAGGTAACGACTAGCTGACCAATCACGAGCTCCGTTCACTCGCCGAACCATATCTAAACAATAGATGTGTAGGTAACGACTAGCTGACCAATCATGAGCTCCGTTCACTCGCCGAACCTTATCTAAACAATAGATGTGCAGGTAACGACTAGCTGACCAATCACGAGCTCCGTTCACTCGCCGAACCATATCTAAACAATAGATGTGCAGGTAACGACTAGCTGACCAATCACGAGCTCCGTTCACTCGCCGAACCATATCTAAACAATAGATGTGTAGGTAACGACTAGCTGACCAATCACGAGCTCCGTTCACTCGCCGAACCTTATCTAAACAATAGATGCGCAGGTAACGACTAGCTGACCAATCACGAGCTCCGTTCACTCGCCGAACCATATCTAAACAATAGATGCGCAGGTAACGACTAGCTGACCAATTATACTGATTATAATACTTATTATTATTATTAAAATAATAATACTTATAATTTTTAGTATTATTATTAATAATTTTATTTGATAGCAAAATTTTAACACATTTTTTTATTTAAATTCTAAATTATCCAAACATCTAAAATTTAATTTGTTATTTTTGTGCAGCCCTACGAACAATATTATGAAAAATTGTGTTTTAAATAAAAATTATTATAATTTTTTTTATCAGAATCATGCATCCCTGGTTGTGTGTGTGTGTGTGTGACAGGAGAGCATCGAGGTCTCGGCCCGAACATTTCGAAGGTGCGCAGTCTCAAGATGGACAAGAAGGTTTGGACTGAAGATCTCATCCAGGTCAGTGTGGTGTTTTTCCAGATATCTCGGATCCTGACGCTCATGTTTAACACACACGTGCACACACACTCACACCCTGTCCTGGTGTTTCAGCTGTTCCTGGCTCTGGGAAACGAGCGAGCGAATCAGTTCTGGGCGGCTAACGTTCCCCCCAGTGAAGAGCTGACCCTGAACAGCAGCAGCGACGAGAGGCGGCGCTTCATCACCGCCAAATACAGAGAGGGCAAATACCGCAGATACCACACACTGTTCGGCAACCAGAGGGAGCTCAACAACGTGAGTCTCACACACACACACACACATTTTTGTCTGCTTTTGAAACCAGACTGATTGTTGTCCAGGTTGTTCTGTGTAAGAAAGGATGAGATCTGGTTGAAAACAACAAAAGTGTTTTTGCGGGTGAATTGAAGAGGAGATACCGGTCTGTCAAGTCAAGTCAAACTTTATTTATTTATAGAGCACAAGTTTAACACAACGTAGTTGATCCAAAGTGCTTTCCAGTACAATAAAATAGTTCAAATAAAATAAAATAAATAAAGTAAAAAGAGATAAAAACAAGTAGCAAAACCTTTGGTGTATCGACATATAGAACCTGTAGAACACAGACTAATTTAAAAATAAATACATGACCTTATTCGAACGCAAGAGAGTAAAAATAGGTTTTTAAACTGGATTTGGTCTGACCTTCTAGATGTGCTGGATTTAGATTGGGTTTCTTAATCCTTCGGGGTCGCCGATCACGCCGGCGTGATGAAGTCACGTGTCCAGTTTAAGACGTCGAAACATAAAAACAAAGTCACGTTGAGCGCTGCCGTCCACTTCTGTCGAAAGTGCTGACTTGAAATTCAATTTTTCTTTTTGTTTTGTGTTGATAGACCAAGTAAAAACGGAGATATGATCATTTAAACTTTATATAAAAAAAATGTACGCGTATATTGACGCGTTCGTAAAAAAACGCAACGACGTTGCATTTATTCTAATAACTTTGTCGGTTTTTGTCATAAAACAAAACGGAGAAAAATGTGTGAATCTGCTGATTCTGCTCTTCAGGCTTACGGAGTCAAAGAGGAGCCAACTGAGCAAAGACGCGAAAGTGAAAGGCAGGAGACAAAGAGAGACACATATACGTTATATATAGAGAGAGAGAGAAATTATTGCTAGTTTGAGTAGATTTTGAGAGTAGTGTAGATAGTTTAGGAGTAGATTAGGAGTAATTAGATAAACTGTTTTGAGGAGTGGCACAGATAAAAAACAACAACAAATAAACACACCTGATATTTGTTGTAATAATTGATTTGTGTTAATTTGACCTTTTGTGTGGTATATTTGCACTATTGAGGAACCCCTCTTACTCAAGGAATGAAAGCCCTGTAATTGTACATGAAGTGTTTTGTAGTTTCTAAGCAAAAAAGTAAAGAAAAAATATAGTATAATATTAAAAAAAAGTTTCATTTTATCTCAATTTTACCATTTTTTATGTTGTGTTTGGACTATTTGGGAACCCTCATACTCTGGGAATGCAAGGCCTTAAATATATCTCTCTGTATATTTGTGTGCACAATTTTTTTTTTAAAAAAGTGGCAAAGCTAAAATGAAAAAAAGAAAAGCCTATGGCTACACTCGCTTTTTTTGTAAATCATTTTTTTTTTTTGTATATAGCTTGATTATATATGAATTTTACCTGTATATTTTGACATTTACGACTTATGTTTACATTTTAAACCTTTTAAAATGCTTCATTGAGCATTTTTGTGTTTTTTGTAGTAGAAAAGCTATAATATTTCTATTCGGATTTTGTGTTTTTTGTGTGCTTTTGGGTCCAGTATGTTGAAGAGTACATCAGAGTGATATAAACTAATTGTCTGGTCATATAGGTGATGTTGTGCTGAAAAAATGATACCAAAAATTGGTATGGTAAACATTTGTTTATGTCGCAAAATTAACAAATAAAAACGTACTCAAAAAGGGCCAAAATAGCCCAAGACTCCGAAGGGTTAAGCAGTGGGGTTACCCGAGCCTGCTGTACCCAAATGAAGAAACATAAACATGATGTGCATTTTGACATACTCTCACGCAGTAGCGGTTCTAGGCACGGGCGAACCGGGCAGTCGCCCGGGGCGGCATTTCTTCATGTCACATGGGGGGCGGCACGAGCAGTTAAAAAAATCCTCTGTGCCGCGAAGTTTTTCTATTTTTATCATTTCGATTCAATTATTGGCAATGGCGCCCTGCTTGCTGAGAAGGTGCCGTGCGCAGAAGCGAGGGGATCAAGGGGATCTCCTGATTAGTTCACGTATCGCGTCTTTTGCACGCTCGTGGTCGTTATTTCAAATGTTTCAAATAGGCGCACGGGACGCGCGCTCATAAACTTTTCAGTATGGGAGTGCATGTGCACCCAAACACTTGGGTGTTTTTTTTCTCTTCTCCGTAAATAAATCTTGTAGCAGAGCTACAGCAAGCGTTTTTCTGTGGTGGGAATACATTAGCTACTAAAACTTCTTTGTCGTTGGAGAGCGCAGTGTAATGAGTGCATGGTTCTATAGCAACGACAGCCATGGGAAAATTGGTACGAATTTTACTATTAATAATAAAAGATAAGCTACTGTGCATTATAAATGTCAGGAATGTATCTTTATTGACTCATTCTTTTTATAGAGATGATTTAAATGCTGAAATATGAGGTTTATCTTTATATAAAACCTTTTTTGTATTCACCTTTTTTAAAGTTTAGTAGGTAAGATGAAAGACTTTAAAACAAATCTTTAATGTTATTAACTTGGTGAATTGACACTGTGTATTAGGCTTTTTGAACAAGATTCTGTGATCATTTTGGTCACTATATTCTATATTATTTAATACTTTTCATAATGATCAACTAAAATCAACTTTAATTATGAGTTTTTACAGTAGCCTATAATATGCAAAGTATTTTTTTTTTTTCAGGGGGGCGCTCGAAGGGGGTCTCGCCCTGGGTGTAATTCAAAGTAGAACCGCCACTGCTCTCACGCAAACACACACACTCACACACAGGAAGCTTTCACTGCAGTCCACCAAAACAACACAAAACCAATCACAGCGTGATGTGATTTGCTTCCTAAAACACACACACACACACACACACACACACACAGACAAAGAGAGCATTCACTCAGAGAGAGATATGAGTTGAATGAGAGCGGGCTGACGACAGACAGATTTCTTTCTGTTTTTCTGCAGGGCTGAAGAAATGTTCTTTTCTCTATCTATGATAATAAAGTTATCATTATTGTTGATATTATGAGTATGACCACAATCTAGTTTTTTCTATTTTTGAAAAGAAACATTAAAGTTTTTGTTTGCATCAGATTTCTAAAGGAGTGAGATGTGGGTGTGTCTGCATGTGGGTTTGTTGATCAGACTGTGAGTAGGCTCCGCCCACAGCTCATGTGATAGACATCTGACCCCACCCCCTCCCATTCAGGCTCCGCCCACACAGCCCCTCTCCGCTCTCACTCGCCCCTCATTCTCTCACTCTTGTCATTCAGTCGCTGTGATTCGCATCAGTGTGTGTCTGTGTACGGCTCTGACTGCCCTTAGGGATATACAACACGCACACACACACACTCTGAGGGCGAGGGCTGACCTTTGAACTTTAAACCCCGTGTCAATCAGCTGGGTGAGTTGTTGTATGTGTTTACTCAGGTGTGCATGTGAGTGTTTTGTGTTACGGTGGACTTTTCTATTAAAAGTCTTTTCTACAACTTTCACATGATGTTTGTAGTATTAGAACACACATACGTGTGTGTGTGTGTGTGTGTGTGTGTGTGTGTGTGTGTGTGTGTTTGCAAGCCTAAGGAATGCCGAGACAGACCCACCCAACAGAGAGCGAGCCGGAGACGATGATCGTGTGTCTCTCTTCACATTCTTACCTTCCTCAATGGGCGGCTTTGTGTGTCACACACACACACACTGATTTACTCATGTCCTGATGAATGCAAGTGTGTTTTTGTACTTTGTTAATGTTATGCTGGCATGTGTGTGTGTGTGTTTGTATTGTGTGTTTTGGTATGATGTCATATGTGTGTGTGTCGTGAGGAATTTCTCTCCTCCCTGACGCAGTTTTCTTCTCTCTCTGCAGTTTTTCTGTGTGTGTGTGCATGTGATGAGTGTGTTTGTCTCTGCTTTTGTGTGTGTGTGTGTGTGTGTGTGTGTATGTGTAAAGGTTTTACATTTACAAGGATAGTAAAACCTGAGATCACCTTTACAGAGGAGCAGCCGACGGCCTCCACGGGGGAAATGGGTTAATAAACACACTAAATTATAGTTTTTTGAAAATATAAAAATGCAGAAAGTTATGGGTAGGTGTGTCTGTGTGTGTGTGTGTGTGTGTGTGTGATGGGCAGGTTCAGAGGTCGGGTTAGTGTAAAGTGACAGAATATACAGTTTGTACAGTATAAAAACCATTACGTCTATGAGGAGTCCTGGCAAAGATAGCAGATCAGTGTGTGTGTGTGTGTGTGTGTGTGTGTGTGTGTCCTGCTGTGGAAGTTGTAATGACGACATCCTGATCACTGTACATAACATTTCTCTTTCATCTCTATAGTTTTTCCTGCCCAGTTTCAGATTAATTCAGTGTGTGTGTGTGTGTGTGTCTGATTTCTTCTGGTGGAAATACACATTATAGGTTGTGTAAGAGCTCAGTGTGTGTGTGTGTGTGTGTGTGTGTGTTTCCATTACAGTCCTCTGGAATTAGTGCTACATTTTATAAACAAAAACACATGTTCACACATGCTGCAGGTGTTTCTGGCGTGTGTGTGTGTGTGTGATGTCTTTGGCTGTGTCAGATATCGCCTCCATCCATCGGGATCTATAGCTGCTTCTTCCAAGTCGTCTGGTTTGCTTTTCTTGAGCTTTTTACAAATAAGAGGTCATCATCATACTATAAGAATATCCTGTAGGTTCCCAACTCATAACCTCCTTGTTTCCTTGTTTACGAGAAGAGCTATACACAAATAACATTAACTTCCAAAACAACCTAATACTGGGAAGGTGGATATTTCATTTATTTTCAACGATGTGAATGTCTCAGTTGAGCATTAATTATTTTTATGCTGAACATTTTAACTGGATTTTTTGGTAAAACAGTCACAAACGGACTTTTACGATATAAACTCGACTGTAACGCTACAACATGGAAGTAACAGTTCATTTAATGCCTGATCTGTGACCAGTGATTTCTGATATGTAATGATTCATGTAAATTCAGATTTTCTTTGTCTATGTGCCAGTAAACCAAA